AGAAAGGAAGGTCAATGTTTGACTTCATTGGAACTCATTTTTTGCTTTCTTTTCACTTAATGAGTAAGATAAGTTACTGCATTTTGCTGTAATATAAAATAACAGTGAGGGCTCATATTTTCCACATTATTATATATCCAATTTTTTTTGTTGTTGTTTGTTTGCTTTTTCCTACCTGGAGAAGGGCTGTATATTGAATTTAACCAGGTAGAGATAAAGACAACCAGAATGGGTTACTCTTTCCCGCCACCACATTCTGGAAGACCCACATGACTCACTAGAAGACCTACCCAGGTCTGACAAGCCCTCTCATCCAAGTTTCCAACATGGGAGGGAAGGTAGGACAGGGCCTCTGGGTCATCTTCACATCCTTACAAAGAAGAAGCAGAAATCAATCTATCAGAAGGACCCCTGGGAGCCACTTCCCAACCTCCTTCCCATTGCCCAGCCCTGAGGAGAGTGGATGCTCCTTAGAGCAGAATCTCTATGGGCCATTTGACCATAGCAATTTAGAACACAGACGTCAGGAAAGTAACCAGTTAATGCACTCACTCTTTATCTTCAACATCCACTTCCCAGACATTGCAAAATATTTGAATAAGATAAGGAAGGTAGTTAGGGCTAAAAGAACTATTTATCATTTTCTTTGCACAACTGTACAGTTTTTTAAAGCACCAAACCACAGAAAACACAGTATTTATTATTACTAAACAACCTAATCATATTTTTCTAGAATATTTAAAGAATGTAAAGATGGGGAGGCAATCCAGACCTAATGCTGGCCTTTCCTTCCCTTTGGAGGCTTTACCCTCCAAACCATTCTCCTTCCCAGTAAGCAGTCAGCCAGGGTCCTGGGCAAAGCCCACAGAGAGTGGGAGTCAGCAATTCCTTTAAAAGAATCCTCCCTCTGTTACAACAGCAAAGTATTTCACAGAACCAGCCGGAGACACCCAGAGGAGCCCCAGGGTCACTCCATTCATCGCACCCTAGTCAGGGAGGCTGCTAATTCTAACTACATTTCTTTTCTTTGTTTCTCTCCGTTCAGTAGCGATCATTCAACAGAGACTGGAATAGAGAAAAATGTTAAACAGTGGTTATATCTGGGTAACTGAGATGTTTGGTTTCTTCTTGGTATTTGTCACATTTTTAATTTTCTTCAGTGTAAGATTTTTGTCACCATATGGTTTCTTTCAGTCAATAAGCTTTAATATGAACCTCTTCCATTGTGCTAAGCACTGAAATTCTAAAAAGGAATGTTGTTGTCTTGTCCTTAGGAGTTTGACATTGAGTAGATGAAACAGTCTCAAAACATCCATGGCTAGTCTCGTGTGTTCCTTGCTAATTACTGAGGGTTGTAAAAAGTGCAGGAGAATCCAGAAGATATTCACCAAATAATTCCCAAATCACCGGTTCTTTGGTGGGGGTGAGAGGGTGAGGTTTGATGCTTGGTCACTTTGTAAACAAGCCTCCTCTCAGTCTCTTTCAACTTAAGGGCCAGTGACCCGAGTGTGCAAAATCTGCAAACCCTGCAGAGTAGCAGTTGATGCACGGGGCCCAATGTGCTGCTATTGGTGACAAAAAAGGAACATGAATTTTGGAGCCTGTCTGGAATTGGTGGTGTGGTCCCTAAGCATTTGGCTGCTAACCAGAAGGCTGGCGGTTCAAACCCACCAGCCACTCCTCAAAAGGAAAATTGGGCAATCTATTTCCATAGTGATTCCACCTTGGAAACTCAAGGAGGGGACGCTATGAGTCGGATCCGACTCAACAGCAGTGAGGCAGTGCGTGCGGGACTCTCAGTTATGTCCCTAACTAGCTCTGTGGCCTTAGACAAATTCTTTCAGCATTAAATAGAAGAGTTTCATTTGAGGTTTAGGGGTAAAGTACTTATATTATGAATGGCAATTATAATCATTGTTATTTTAACACAGAATACCTTCCCTCAGAGAGCTTACCATCTAGTTGAGAGGGCAAGAATTACCCAATTTGGAAGGTAATTTCCAAGGCAGTATTGTTCTAAAGACCAAATGGGCTGCAAAGGGTTCAGAGAGCTCTCTGTGGGCTGTTCTCAGTCCTGTGGCCATCAGCTCATCAGCTCGCTCTTCCTTACCCCTGCTCCTGCATTCCCACTGAGTAACCTCGACTCAGGCACTTGCCCATGGACTCTCACTCATTGAATTTATTGCATGAAAATGGTTGGCACTTAGCTTAGCAGGTGTTCAATAAAGGTTTGTGTGCTGAATCTTCTAGACACACAAAGAGAGACTCTTTCCCTTGGTTACACCTCTCCCTCTCTATACTGGGGCCATCTCAGGCTTGGGGAGTGACAGCCTCTTAGAAAACAAATATGGATTCTTTATTCTGAAACCAATTTCCAAATGTGTTCTAGAAAGCCACACAGAAATGAAGTCTGCTTCTCAGAGTTAGCACAGCTCACTTCCAGCTGATGGCAGGAGACAGACATAGGGCAGCCTAATGAGAACTGATGCAGAGATTCTGTCTGGCGATAATAGCAAATGTAAAACAGTGAAACCTCAGACTCCCCTTCTGTTTGCTTTCTCGTTTGTGTAATAAACCGGCACACACATACACACACACATAAACTCACACACACACATATATATATATGTAAAATTCAATTTCCCAGAGAATCTGACAAAGGTAGCGCCTACTCTCTTGTTTTCAACAATAATTTTCCATTTAGTCTCTCTTAGACTTTTTGGAGGTTTTGTCCTTTCTAAAAGCAAAGGGGAAAAAAATTAGCATTTAGATAGGATTGCACCAGCATTAAAATCAATTGAAATGGAATTGGGAATCATGTGAGGGTTGAGACACGTAGAGTTTTTTCCATATGATGATTCTGATATGATATTCAGGGTGCCCACTGAATCCCCCTCCCTGTGTCAGCCATAATCAGTGTTCACTCAGCTTTGTCCCTGGTGCCTCTTGCTCACACATCTTCCTTTCCAAGTCTCCTAAGGATCATGTTTCTTATGACAGAGGCCCCTCCAAGCTTTCTCACCTTCTTCTCCAGATATAATCAATGCAAAGGAGACACAAAGCATATGATTCCCTCTGTCTGGGATGTAGAAATATGAAATACCCCAATGCTTGCCCCATAGGCTCCATATACTCTTTTTGACATCTTGCATTGCCCTTCCCTCCCCCAATACCCACAGCTGTACCCACTTTTCCCTGTAACACACCCTCAACCTTCTTCTGGCCTAAATTTTAGGCTTTTCCAGGATCTCCTACGCTCACATGGGCCTATGCTTCGTAAGCCCCCCCTGCTTTGGCAAGCTTTGGGTCCTGAGGAGAAAGAACATCAAGACAATAACCTGGAGATTACAATCACAAGATGTCCCCTACTTATTACATGTTGTTGTGAGCTGCTGTAGAGTCAGCCCCCAACGCATGGTGACCCCATGCGTGACAGAACAAAGCACTGCACAGTCCTGTACCATCCGCACAATGGGCTGGAGATCGGACAGCTGTGGTCCGTGTGGTTTCCACTGACTGATTTTTGGAAGTAGATCACCAGGCCTTTCCTCCTAATCCATCTAAGTCTGAAAGTGTCACTGAAACCTGTTCCGCATTGTAATAACTTGCAAGCCTCCACTGGTGGCTTGCATTGGCTGGGAATTGAACCCTGGTCTCCTACATGTTATGTGCTGTCGAGTCGTTTCCAACTCAGAGTGACCGCTCCTTGGGTTTCCAAGGCAGTATCACTACAGAAGTATATTGCCCAACCTTCCTTCCCAGGAGTGGTTGGTGGGTTTGAACAGCCAACCTCTGGTTAGCAGTTAAGTGCCTTAGGCACTATGCCACCAGAGCTCCCGGTCTCCTACATAGAAGGTGGGATATCTACCACTAAACAAAGAATGCCTCATAATGCCCTCATGGGGAAAAAAAAAAGAAAAGAATAACCCAAACCCACTGCCACTGAGTTGATTCTGACTTATAGCCACACTATTGTACAGGGTAGAACTACCCCATGGGGTTTCAAGGCTGTAAATCTTTGTGGAAGCAGACTGCCTCATCTTGTACCTGCAGAGTGGCTGGTGCATTTTAATGACCAACCTTTTGGTTAGCACCCAAATGCTTTAACCTGTGCATCACCAGCTCCTTAATGTCCCCATAAACTCAAAAAAAAAAAACAAACAAACAAACAAACTCATTGCTGTCGAGTCAAATCCAGCTCATACCAACCCCTCTTTGGGTTTCTAAGGCCATATCTCTATGGAAGTAGATTGCCCAGTCTTCCTTCTGAGGAGTGGTGGGTTTGAACCGCCAGCCTTCTGGTTAGCAACCAAATGCCTTAGGCACTACACCAACATGCTATCTGTTCATTCAATAAAAGGTACTGCTGGAGTCTTAGCAAAGTAGCACTACACTTGTATATGATTCTACTTTGAACAAAACAGGCTCCACACCTGGACTTACCTCAAAGATTCCTGTCTGCTACTTATATGAGTATGGTTTCAGGATGAACCAGCAGCATTCAGAAGTTTCCATGATCTGACACATCCCTGATTATATTTTCTGGTGATGAATTCTTCAAACAAACGGACAGCTGCAATCACTGAGCTCTGCTCAGAGTACTTTTTGTCCTTAGGAGCCCCCTGAGAAGCCAGACTCAACATTCTTCCTCATTTTGCCTTTTATTGCTGCTTTCCTGGACCCTCCAGACCATGGGAGTGAGATCCACTTAGTACTACTAATGTCTTGTGTGTAGTTGTTTCTGTCTTGCAAACTCGTTTATCCAAATCCCTTATCGAAGAGCCACACATCCCTCTGCCCCTTCCATCCGCCCACCTCCAGTTACAATCCTCAGCATTCCCCTCCTAAGTCTGTGCCCACATCAGCTGTTTCTCTGTGCCTCTGTGTTTACTGGCCCTTCCATGCCTCCCCACTCCTCTATTTGTGTTCCACCCTCTCAGTCCATGTTCTTCTGAAGTTCTCCACCTGGGAGTGTAACCTTTGATTCATTTCTTCCACAGGAAGATGATATGAAAGGGATTCACATTGTGGCCTTTGCAGAGAAGAGTGATCCAGGTAGGAAATCCCCATCTGCTCTTTCATACCTTAAGCGAGAACTGACTTCTCACCTTTGTCATCCCTCACTGCCCATTCACAAAGCAAACGCAAGATATTGGACACCCCCTAGTGGTCACCTGTTAGGTATCTCATCCTCTTTCAATTGTGCATGATCCCTGAGGGAACAGGAGGAGTGGAAGTATCAGAACTTCAAAATACTTTGCTCAGCTTCCCAAACAAGGAAGAAGCACTGAGCATTGGGGAGAGTATTAAAATATCCTAACTTTAGAGAACGTAGGGGTGTGTGTGTTTATGAACTTCTTTTCACATTAAAAGTTTACTTGTCAATTTTATGATCTTGCTAAATAAACCACAGTCCTTATCTTAAAATAACAAGCCTACCCTTCGATCTGGAGCACCTGAGTAGCACAAATAGTTGAGCAAGAGGCTACTAACTAGAGGTTGATGGTTCAAGTCCACCTAAAGGCGTCACAAAAGAAAGTCTTGGCAACCTACTTCCAAAAACTGAGCCATTGAAAATCCATGGAGCACAGTTCTCCTCTGACACACATGGGGTCACCATGAGTTGAGTCCAACTCTGCAAGAGGCTAACAACGAGGAGCCTTTAATCTGTAAAATACGGTCAGTATTTAGGAAGCAGAATAGAAAATGTCTCTCAAAATAATGAGGGGTAAAAAAGTAACTTCTTTCTAAATTGCAAGCTGAGTCTATAAACGGATGAGTAACTTTGTTTTATTTTTGGAAGTTGGACAGGTTTTTCTCTGTCACTCTCTTTGAACACCAGTGGGGAGTGAAACACAAGAAAATTTAATTTTGTAGGTTGAAAATGCATGTGGTTCCCTTGAGGAAAGTATAAGCAGAAATGCTCAAGTGTGTTTGGGTCTGGGGCAATCCAGAAGGAGCTTTGGTGTTGCAGTGGTTAAAGCACTCAGCTGCGAACCAAGAGGTCGCTGGTGATTTGAACTCACCAGCCTCTCTGCGGAATATATATATTTGGCAGCCTGTTTCTGTAAAGATTTACAGCCTTGGAAATCCTATGGGGCAGTTCAACTAGGAATTGGAATCAACTCCACGGCAGTGGCTAGGAGAGGGGTTAGCTATCCAGAATACAACGAGAGAAGGCACCGTATTTAATTTAGAATGGGTTAGCCACCAGGTTTTGGCCATGAGGTGCCTGGGTCATTGGTTCCAAAACCTGATGGTGGGCAGAACTGCAAGTGCCAAGCCACTGAGGCGGCCTAAGTCAGAACCTTCAGGAGGTCTGAGGCAAGTTCTGACTCATCATCAGGTTTGGGAACTACTGCTCCAAATACTGCAGAACCATAGAATATTCTTCTAGGATCTCATCCTCTGGTGTGTTCCACCTAGAAGGGAGGAACCTAGACATGATCTCCACTGTAAGGTGTGGAAACCGAGGCTCTGAGGAGTTAAAACAAACTGCCCGAGGAGGCATAGTTAGTTAGTGGAAGACCATAAAGGAGGGACAGGTTGTCTTGTTCATCATTATGTACCTGGTTCTCACGTGCTTTAACACCCAGGACATACTCAACGAGTATTTGTTGGATGATTAGATGGCCAGATTGTTAGATGTTGGATGATTGATGGGCTTGGGACTGAGCCAAACTCCTCATTAGCAGACCAGCTTTTTAATTTTTAGTAATTTTATTATGCATCCTCCATATTTTCTCACAGAGTCAAACCCCAATTTTTTTCTCATGTTTTTTATTAAGTTATTCTTTGCTACCATAAAAGTCACCTCTTTAAAATGTACAATTTAGTGGGTTTTTGTATATTCGTAAAGTAGTACGGCCATACCCACTAATTCCAGACCATTTTTATCACCCCAAAATGAAACCTCACACCATTAGCAGTCACACCCTTTTCCCAATGTCCCTGACAACAATTCATCCACATTCTGGACATTTCATACAAATGAAACATACAATGTGTGCCCTTTTGTGTCTGGCTTCCTTCCCTTAGCATATTTTCAAGGTTCATCCAAGTTGTAGCATATGTCAGTACTTCAATCCTTTTAATGGTTGAGTAGTATTTCATTGTTTCAAACCCAAACTATCTAGGAGCTTTTTATGTAAGCTCCAAATTATCTGGGGTGTTTTTTTTTTTTTTTTCCTTCTTCCTGTTTTTTATCCACTTTTTCAAATATCCATGGATATTCCAGCTTCTTCATAATAGACTTAGACAAAGTTGGAGAAAGCCTTTAACACTTTGTCAAAAAAATGCTAGTGCAATTCCAACTTTTTCCCACAAACTCTAGCCACCCGTTTGCCCTAGATTAGTAGAGAAATACCAAAGGAAGCCGGTTGCCTAAGGTTTACAAGCGATAATCAAACAGAATCGCCCCCAAGTGTTGTGTGAACAGAGATGAAATTGTCATCACAGCAGCCTGCTGGCGGGACTCCAGGGGACTTCCTCCCCACCCCTCCTGCCCCATTCAAGGATTGTGGGGAGGCCTGTCTGGCCTTCCGGAACAATAGAACAAAGAAGTCTTCCCTGAAGTTGCAGGAACCTGTTTGACAGAGATTGCTGCTGTAATGAATTGAGCCCCTGAAACTGCTTCCACCTCCTCCCTGCACAAATATCCCTGGGCCCAAAGCTCTGCCTTTTCCCAGGAGCCCAAGCTAGGCCTTGTTACAGGGAAACTGTAGCAAAGGCTTTGAGATGGGGGTGGGAAGAGATAGGAGCTTGAAGCCTCTTTTTTTTTTCAGTGAGGGAAGGCTTTGCCAGCGCAGAACCAGGAAAAGGGAAAGGCAAAGGGAAAGGCCTTTCGGTGCAAGTCTCTGACTCTGTGGTTAGTCAGTCATTTACTAGAGAGTCCCTAGTGGGTAACTTGGGGTGGAGGGGCTGCCGGCTGCCTGAGGGAGGAGGAATTGCATTCCTGTGCAGACAACACTTCCTCCTATACCTTTGCTTTTCCTACTAACTCCTCATTATATGCTGCCTATTGCCCCAAATTCTACCCAGCTACCAAAGCAAGAAGATCCTACTATATCCAGGAAAATAATACAGCTCTCCTTAGAGAGAGAACAGTTACTGGGCCACTGTACTTTGTGTAGCTTTATGTAGATTACCTCATTTTTCCTCTAAAGCCACTCTAATGGCTTTATTAAGATTTATTATAATAATATATGCATGGTTATTATTATCCCATGGGGCACTGGTGATTCAGTGGCAGAATCCTCACCTTCCATGTAGGAGACCTGATTCCATTCTCAACCAGTATACCACATGCACGGCCAGCACCTGTCTGTCAGTGGAGACTTGTGTGTTCCTGTGATGCTGAACAGGTTTCAGTGGAGCTGCTAAGACTAAGATAGACTAGAAAGAAAGCCCTGGCTATCTACTTCCAAAAATCATCCAGTGAAAACCCTTTGGGTCACAATGGTCTGATCCACAACCAATCATTGGGCATAGTGCAGGACTAGGCAGTGTTCCATTGTGTTGTGCATGACATCTGGTGGTGTAGTGCCTAAGGCATTTGACTGCTAACCACAAGCTTGGTGGTGCAAACCCACCAGCAGCTCTGCGGAAGGAAGACTGGGCAATCTGCTTCTGTAAAGATTAACCACCTCGGAAACCCAAAAGGGGTTGCTATGAGTTGGAATCAACTCGATGGCAGTGAGTTTGTTTTTTTCTTTTTGAGGAATTGACTACACAATAGCTAACAGCATTATTATTCCAATGTCAGATAAGAAAAATGAGTCTTAGAAGGTAAATAAGTTACCTGAATTACTCACTATATCTCAACCAAGACTCAAATTCAAGCAGGCTCTCTTAACCTCTAAATTCATCATGACTAAGATGAAGAAGATGATGGTGATCACTTATTGTATGCTTAGGTGACATAACAACCTCATGAGGGAGTTCCTGTTTTTATTCCCATTTTACAACCGAGGAAGCTGAGACTTGGAGAAGTTACCTTGCTTGGAATTAAGTTGACTGCTGTCCAGCTTCCCAGCCCAGGCCCTTACCTGCAAGGCCCTTCACCGTTCAAAGTCACTACCCCTAACTACATCTCAGTGATTCATTCAGTCTGCTCTCCTTCCTCTCTGCTGTCCTTCACAACCCCTCCACCTTCAACAAGACCAGAAAACAAAGGCCTAAAGAAGTTCAGCAGTACAGTTGCGATTAATTAGTTGGTTAAAATCACAGCAGAAATAAGAGCTTAGATTTCCTGGCTGCTCATTCTGGGCACCATCCATGCTATCACAGCATCTCTCAGATAGCCCTGCCAGCTGCAGGCTCTGAGCATGTGCAGTGCTGCCACAATGAAGGGCAGGGAGGAGCAGGGAAGGCAGGAGAGAAGAAAAAAGTGAAAGCAGGGCAGGGCCACCTGGAAGCTTTCAAGCACAATTAGTAGAGAAAACTCAAACTTCCTCCCCACAGTCCACTGATGTTCTCAGATTTGGAATCTAAGAATAGAGAACGACAAAAGTTTATCTTAGTGCACTGGGTCTCCAAAGTCTCTTTTTTTCATTAGCAATTCTGATATTCACAACCAAGAGCTTGTCATCACCAACTGCAGAAAGCTAGGAGGGGGTCATGTCTCAGATCCGTACTCCTTGGTCTCTTCTGCTGTGAGTACTCATCCCAGCTGCCTGTCAAGTAGGCCTGGCTGGAAAGGCCATGTCCCCTCCCCTCTCTCTACTCCTGCTGCTGCCTGGTGGTGCTGCCTCATGCTCTCTGCTTCTGCTCCCAGGATGTCAGCTACAAGAACTGCTTGGGTGACAGGTTTGAAAAAGGATGACTCTCTTCTCTGCTGCCCCCAGATGTGCCTGCATCAGGCTGACATCTTCTTTATAAGGCTTGATGAAAGGTTTGCAAAATGGTGTTTCTACATGAATGAGCACCGGATGACTATCCTCCAAGGGCACTGGGAATATTAGCGCTAACAAGCTGGAAATGCAAGGCTGGGCTGCTGTCTGTGCATATGGAACAGAATTAGTGACGGACCCTGGGATGAACGGCTCCAAGCCCTG